GAGAGGATCCCTCCAACACCATGGAAGAACAGCCAAGAGCAAAGCATGTGCATTGGACCCAGGATCACCGTGCTGAGAATCTCCTGGAACCAGGAGACCGAAAAAGAAAGACAAAGATAAGGAATGCGCGTGGGGGGCGGTGGGGGAGTGGTGCCTCTGGGCACTTACTGGCAGCCAAAAGAGCTTTGTAACACTTGCCTGAGCAGGGCAGAGGCTGAGGGCCAGGGAGAGACCTGCCTGTGAGCAAGACTGCGAAGAGGCTGTCCTGATGGAAGAACTGTATCCTGAGCATTCCCGAACCTGAATTGTAACCTGTTACTTTCCTAATAAACCCCATAATTGTGAGTATTGTCTGTGAGTTCTGTGTGGCCATTACAATGAATTGTCCAACCCAGCAGAGAAGTAGAGAGTGGCGTGGGGGGCATGGCTGGTGCCAGAATTGGTAAAGATGACGGACACAGGAGGCACGTCTGACCTCTGCCTCATAGGAATCAGCCTTGGGCTGTTGATCTAGGTTCTCATTCCCCCTTGTGAAGTTACAGGAGGTCAGGTGCCACTCCCACACCATTTTTACACTGTCTACAGAACTACTTATACTTGTACCCACAACTTAGACCCTGGAATAGGCATTCCTAATGCTTCCATTTATAATAAAATTAAACACATACCCTGTCAATAGCTCCCTAATACATTAAAAAAAATTTTTTTTTGTATGACAATTAGAACCCTTTATAATCTTGCCTCAACTTGCCTACTCACTACTCAACTTACTCATTACTCCTTAGTATAAATTCTTTTGCTGTCTCTTGAATATACTCTGGATTCTCCCGCTTCTAAGCTTTTGATCATGCCCTGACTTATCCTTCAGGGAGAGCCCAGTTCAAGTTTCATATGTCTTTATGGATTGAATTGTGTCCCCCTAAAATATGTGTTGTAAATTATAACCCCTATACCTGCGGTTATAATCTCATTTGTGACTAGGTTTTGTTATGTTAATGAGACAGTATTAGTGTAGGGTATGTCTTAAGTCACTCTCTTTTGAGACATAAAAGAAATTAAACAAGCAAGTGAGCAGCAGAGATGGGGGAAGAGAAATGTCATGCCACATGAATATCACCAAGGAGCCAAGAAACAGAAGTTGAAGAGACAAGAACCTTCCTCTACAGCTAGCAGAGAGAGAAAGCCTTCCCCTAGAGCCGGCACCGATTTCAGACATCTAGTCTCCTAACTATGAGAAAATTAATTTGCTTGTTAAAGCCACACACTTGTGGTACAGCAGCACTAGATAAGACACATGCTTAGTGAATTCTTCTAGGATCCCCCAGCTCTCAGTGAGCTCTTCCTCTCCCAACCTACTACTAAATGAAGTTTACAAATTTAGTCCCCTTCCTATAGTGTTTGTTCCCTCAGCGGTTTCTAAACATCTCCTTCCCCTATCCCAACCTTATTCTCCAAAGGGAAAGCCTACTAGGATAGCCAAATACGTAAAACACCAACTCTGGATGAAAATGGTATAAATGAACCCATGTCTTCTTCCTAGCTAGAATATTAATTCCCTGGGGCACAGGCTCTGTCTAACTGACCTCAAACTCAACTAAAATTTTAGTGTTATATATAAGGTACTGAAATCACTGGATGGTACAAATGCTTAATGACCTTGGCTGCTAACTGGAAGTCTAGAGGTTCGAGTTCACCCAGAGCCACCTTAGAAGAAAGTCCTGCTGTTCTACTTCTGCCACTGAAATTCAGCCACTGAAAATACTATGGAGCACAGTTTTACTCTGACACACATGGGTTGCCAAGGGTCAGAATTAACTCAATGACAACTGATTTGGTTTTTGGTTTTACCAGGTACTCAGCCAGTAAGGCTACACTTTCACAATATGACCCTTAATACAATCCATGAGGTAGGTATTTTTTCCCATTTTACACATAAGGTTAAATGGGGGCTTAAATAAAAGACCTGATTTAATCAGTGGCAGGGCTGCAACTCCTACTGAGGCCCTCAGAGTCTAAATCCAGTGCATTTTCCATTCCACCATGCTACCTCAAAGTCTCTTCTGGGCTATTCTTTCCCAGAATTCCCAAGAGAGAGACCAGCTGGGGCCACACCAGAGAGGCTACATATTAGTAGTGATCATGAAGACAACTTCAGCAGTGGATTAAGCTCATACAGTCCCGCACCTATGACGATGCTTAGCAACTCAACTCCTCCATGGTTCTGGGTTACACCCAACACTGGGCTACCCCTAACAACAACCTCTTTCTTTGCTCGTCATTATCTCCAAAGCTGATTTTACAGGATAATGGCATCTTCCTATCTATTCCACAATTAAACCAAAAGACAAAACAAAACAAAAGAAACTTTAACACATTCAGGAATAAGTAGCTGTTGGCTTCCCTCCCCTCTCATAAACTTTTTAATCTAGAATTATTCTAACATCCTCAGGAGGATCACTTTTCTTTGCTATTTTACAGAAAACAAAGAGAAAAGAGAAGATGGCTTACCTAATAGACAACTAAGAATTAGTAAATGCCAGAGACTGATACTATAGAAGGATTTAAAGTCACAGGGCTCAATCATTTGCAAAAATAAAACTTTACTATATAAAAAATAGGCCCGCTGCATTAATAATGCAAACACATTTAAATAAGGGACTACAATCCAACTTTCAAATGTTTTATTTTTAGTGTTTTTAAACATTTTAATACAACAAAGATATAAAATAATATATATTAGTTAAATCTGGATTTAATTTAGAATCAAGATATTTACTTATATACAATACTGTGCTTCAAGGTATGGCTACCACAGGAACTTTCACATCTTCAAGTAATACTAGTTTCTCTGTGGATAGGGAGACATTTGGGTAGAATTCTCAAAATAAAACATGTCAATTTTAGTCCAAGCTAACTTTGCTTCCCCCGTTGAGTACCAATTTCCACTTCCTTTATTCCATGTCAGAAATACTCCATTGTCCTAACAATCCACAGATTTTCTGAATGAAAAATTATTAATATTAAACATTTTTAAGATGACATTACTAAATGATAACATCCCTTGGCTATCTATGTCCAATTTTTTCAGACAACCAAGTAGGAAACAACAGATCTGAAATAACAATGAAATTAACATAGTATTCTTTCCTTCTCCCTCCATATCAGGCACAAAGCTTTGCTATGCTCAAACATGGAGTACACAGAAGTCTTTTGGTTAATTTAGAGTAGAAAAATATTCTGAAAAACCAACTTATTATTAGCTGCAATATGGCTTATGGACACAGATATTGATATTGAACTTGATGCGAAGTAATAGGTCATATTTTAGTTACTCAAAACTGGTGGCATTTGCTGCGGGAGAGTGGTGTGAGGGGATGGTGACAGAGGGAACCAAAACCTACTTCCATACTAATTCAGTCATTCAAAGCCACTCAAAGACAGCAATAAAACAAAACTCTTTCCTTTCTCATTGGTCACCTGAAGCATTCTGACCTTTGGTGTTACTGACAATTCTCATCTACAGAGGTATAAGGCTAATTCAGGCTAAACTTCTTATAAATGCAGTCTAAACTGTCAAGTAAAGTTGGCATTAAAACTGACATGCTTTTTCAGCTTTGAAAATGTCTAAATGAAACCAATACTGCTTAAGAAAGCAACTGGACTATTCTAAAAAAGAGCTTTTCTGGTCTCAAATGCCTGAATACCTTAAAGAACTGACAAATAACTATCACTATAATTACTTTTAATAAGGGATAACTTTTAGTCTACAGAAGGACTATCAAAGAATTAAATTTATTAAATCAGAGAGTTTAAAACAAGAATATGGTTAATATTCTCTAGCATTTTGGAACCGGAATCCTTAAAAAAAAGTTTATTATGAAATTGCCTTTTGCTGAATACAGTCGAAGCAGGTTAGTATTGTGAATATGACTCCAGTAACCAATATTTTCCAAACAGATTTCCCTAAAACAGACTGTTTCCCATGAGCTATAGAAGCATCTGGCCCCTGTTCCTCATTTATAAATCAGAGGCAGGTACACAGCAGTGAAGAACACCACTCGTAGTGTCATTCCTAAAAGACAGTTACACAAGCAGCAGGTCTCTCTGGTCAATGGAGTCTTCTTGTGAACAGCCCACACTTATTTAACTGCTCTGTGGCTAAGCTCATTGCTTTCTAATTTGAAAGGATACTAATAAACAGAGTCTGCATATAGATGTAATATTTTTGCCCTAGTAATTTTGGCCACAGAGAACTATAGAGAGAATAGCCATGTTGAAATCCTGCAGCTCAGCTAAAGGAGGTTTCCCTCAAATTATTTGGTGATAACAGCAAACCTGACTTCTTCAAGACCTCCTACTCCCTACCAACTTCAATTATGCTAGAAGTAACACTGACTTATCTGATCTTTAAAAAAGAAAAAAAGGTGACACAGTCCCCAAGAACATAAAAAACGCAACGAGGACTTTTAGTATGCCCTCCCAGTCTGTATCCCCAAACCAAAAACCTTCTTGGTTCCTTCTATACTAAGGTGTCAAGTCTCTCACAAGCCTGCAACTGCAGAACCAAATACAAGTTCTAAAAATATGTAGACCTAAGGCATGTAAGCTTCTCTAGCTACCCACATTCACAGTAAGGCTACCTTCACTGTGCTTTAGATTTTAAAAAGAAAAAAATTACAAAGACAAAATCTGAAGGTTTCTGGACAAAAGAAAAAGTGGCTAAAACGTAGGTTTCATGTTAAAAAACAAAACAAAACAAAAACCCAAAACGGAAAAGAATTTTGTCTCAAAGTTTTCCAAGAAAGAGACTTGGAAAGATGATTAATTTATGTAAACACTGCCTTGTAACAGTTACAACAATAAATTATAAATCTAGCTTATGTTTTTCTCAAAACACATGAGTAAATGCAAGGCTGAAAAGTTATTTTACAATCCTCACTGCAGTCTGCTCTTAGGAACTCTCAATGTCAACAGCTCTGCAAAGTTAGCTGTACTTTTTGTTTTTTTTTCCTATTTTGTTCTAGAATAGAATCCACACGAAGGGAAGAAGACTGATGTTAGGAAAATTTAACACTAAGCAGCTATTTCTTTAACATTTTAGAATTAATGTTGCCAGATTTTTTTTGAACATTTTTACAAAAGCCAACATTAGTCCCTCTCTAGCTAAACTCAGTTCTGCTCGGCCATTTGGAAAAAGTGGCAATAGTACATTTCTTTACCCTTGAGGTCAAAACCACTTTAACTGGCATAGGAAACATCCTTCACCCTTAATGATTATGTAATTTCCTTAGATGAAACACTGGTATTTTTGTCTCTTGCATGTAATAGAATCAACAATTTAAGATATTATAAGATCCTGAAGTGTGAGATTTAAAAGCATAATAAAACTTGAATTGCCCTGTTTCATTACTCAAGTGAGAAATAAAAAATAATGTTCAGAGCAGACCCAAACTGAGGTCATTCAGCACTGGCTGAAACTTGTTTGCATAATACTCCTTTCCTGTCAAATTCATTCAGGCTCCTCTGTAGCTTATACAGGGGTGGGACTATGAAGTAAAGTGCAAAAATAAAATATTTCACCCAGGTAAGGAGCAGACTTCTGCCTGAGAGATCTAACTTTAGATCTCAGTATGTCAGCACTTTTTCTAACATCTTGTTTTAAAATGGAATGTAAAGACTACACAATTAATATTCCAAGTGGCTAAGCTGACCAGTTGGGATTCAAACTCCTCTATAACCACCCTTCTGTCATAACTGCTATATGAAATCATTAAAAATAAAGTGACAAATGTTACCATAGAGGTGAAATTACTTAAGGTACTAAATCTCTAGTGTTGTAAACAGCAGCTAAGTTATATCACTTCCTGACTGCCAAAATAAGATGTAATGGAAAGAACGTATGTATACAATTGTATTTAAAAATTAAAAATAACAAAACCTTTTAGTATCCAAATATGTCTGAGACTGTTCACTTCTGATGGGCAAGAATGAGAAATTTCAAAAACCAAAAAGTTATATCTGAAACCTGTTATAAATTTCATTTCAGAAGGGGAAAAAATTCTTTGCATGCATACCTCCTTATTTAAGGACATAAGAACTTGACCTAACAACTGGTAAAACAGTCCTATTTTGCTCATTAAATAACATCATTAGAAAAGCATAAAATTGGGCTGTCATTTGTCTAACTAACAACTATAGCACAAAGTTATTCCAGGTACCTACATCACTAAGATTAAGTCAATTTTATTTTTATGGATGCAGTAATTTTTCCCTCATGAATACTTACTGATAGGCATACTGAACTCTCAGAACAAAATTGGAACTGCATCTTTTGTTGCATTTGTGGTGAAAAATGCCAGTACTACATTTGCATTAATGAGGAGGGAGGTGGCTTCCTCATCAGTACTTTGTCACCTCTTATCGCCCCTTCCATTCTCTCCTCCTTGTTTCAGGCATCCTGGCATATTCAGTACACTGTACTTAAAGATGGTTCAGAAGGCAAAAATTATCTGACAATAAAGCAGATCACTTTCCAGAGTTGCATTTTCTAAACACAGAAAATAGTTCAAATAACAAGTATTGCTCACTTGATAGGGGCTTTTCCTTTGAAGACAATAAGGAGCTTCAAAAACTATTTCTTGACTAGAGTCCTAGTGGGAATTAATACAAATCTTTCAACCAGCAAATTGCTTGACTTGCTTAAGTTCAATAAGCAAATATTCAACAGGTATGGGCAAAAGCCTGACTTCAATCACAAACATTAACTCTGCCTAAAGAGAAGAGGCAGAGAACACCTACTTAAGCTTTCTTTTCAAACAGCTATGTAAGGACTTTTGATTGCTCTTTCTCGCTTTTTACAATCACAGCCTTGCTCAGAACAGGGAGCTTTACTTTGTCAACATACAAGCCAAAACACAAGGCCTCTAGGAACAACCTAGGGGGAGAAAGCAAAGTTATTCATTTTCAACATCTACTGTATGTTTAATCAAGAACACATTACAAAGACTGGTCTTCATCCAATTAGCCTCTTCATTACTGCTGGTTTTGAAAATGGCCAACAATATTCATTAGGTACTGTACCATTAACATTGCATTCAAAAAAAGAAAACATGGGAAACCAAATCCTTGCTCTCCTACTCTGCTGATAAGCTCTGGTATTGGCCAGAGTATGATAGTACAAAAAGAGTCTTGTTGTGATATAAAAGGCAATAAACACATCAATGGAATAATGTTCATGAGCAGCCAAAATGAAGAAGATTCCAAAGAGGTTGAGAACCCAGGATAAAGTGTGCAAGAAATTCCAGCTTCTTGGTGTATCTGGGAAAAGGACAGAAAGATCATTTTTAAACCACGTTCCTTCCAATGCCTCTCAGTCATATGCTTCTTATGTCGGTCTGTCTCACTCATTCTTCATAGGACTTGACACCCTTCCCACAGCCTTCTTTGCAGCCTGCCATCTAATATGCTTTGCAGCACTAAAGAGATACTTACATTCAGTGACAAAGAAATTCAGCATAGTTAGGACGACTGTGTGGCCACTGAACATGTAATCTCCACAAGTGTGAACGCCAGTCAGGGTCATACCAAAGCCACTCCAAATGGCAAAGGCCCGGTGTAATTTCTCCCATACGCTGCCATATACCTACAAAGAAAGCTATGAATTAGTGCTTCAAATGCTTATGGAGATGGACGCTTCCCAACATCCACTCCTACTGAAATTCAAATGCTAAATAACTTAAAAATAAGATCTAAGCAAAAGCAACCACAACCCCAGTCTAATTCCAGGCAAACCTCAAGAATGGGCAGCAAAATTGGTTATATTTTGAAATGTTTTGGTAATTAAATGAAATCACTATAACTCAAACACCTCTACTAGAAGTCCCTTTATGATGAAAAGGTTACTATAACCAAAAACATTCCCAAGTTTTTAATCCCATACCACAGTAGTAGTTGTTTGGCTGTTCTTGTCAATAAGAAATAGACTACCACTCAATATCTATTCTTCCCTTCTTCCCTGGTAACAGAATTTCAATTTTATTTGAGGCAGCAATGAACTCAGCCAAAAAATCCCATGTCTTAAACATTACACTATGACTAAAAATGACCAAAAGAAACAACCTCATTAGACATCACACTCTCATTAGAAATCTAACCTGCTGATTATACACTTTCCAGCTTTCCTTTCTGCCTCAGTTGAGGGTAGGAGAGGGAGAGGAACTTAAAACTGGAGAAAAGGAAAGAGAAGGTGCTAAGCAAATATGCACTGTTAGGTTCTTCTCTGATTTCTAATGAGAACAGGTTAGAGATGTCAGAGTAGTAAAAAAATCAGGCAGCGAAGAGAAGAGACCACTAGGAACATGTCTCAGCCAAGGACAGGAAACAAGCGACACTGGTCAACAGACAGCAATTATCACTCAATTACTCAAGTCTCCCTATCCTTTCCCATCTTAAATGTCCCAAATATTCTTCAGAAAAACCCAAACTGAAATACTACACAGCTGAATGAATAGGATGCTTTGAGGAAATAAGGTATAGAAAGTTGCTTTAAGCATTTCTTTCTTAAAGGTGAGTGATTTCTAAATTTCACAAAAAGGTATGTGCCTGGTTCTGTCCCCAGTCCTTCGTCTGGGACTATGACTTCAAGCAATTAATTTATTACAATGACAATACCTTATGGAGTTCATTATAAGGGATTTGATTGCTAGTTACTATCACTTTAACTTTCTATTTTTAATGATTGCTGCAAGTAATATAGGTCAATAAGTAGGTTATATTATAATTCAAAGTAATTAACAGAATTTAGGGCAGATTCAAATAGAAATGTCCTGATATACCTAGAAATAAAAAACAGGCATTAGAGACAGAAAAAGGTCTGTTCATACTGTAGAGAGATAGTATCTATTTTTGTAGCACATGTCACAGCCCTATGTACATCTACCCTACTCTTCAGTGGCTGTCCCACAATTAAATCCCCTAGATACAGGAAATCCTCTTTTTAGTATAATAAGCCTGTATTTTCTTTTTAAAAAATCTCTTCTAATCAATTAACATACGATCTGGGGGAAACCATTCTATTCCTACTTCACACAATGTATAGAAACAAATTCAAAATAGATTTAAGTAAATAAGACCACAAAAGTATTAGATATCATTTTTTCATGAATCAGAATAGCAGTGACTCAAAATATTGATAATAAACAGTGCTGGCAAGGGGTTGGGGAAATTAACATGTATACATTATTGGTAGTAGTGAAAAACTAGTCTTTTTTATAATCCTATCTTTTGTTTAAAAAGTATCTATATAAACTAAGTATGTGTGTAAGCATACTTAAAAAATAGCTTATGTGGCTACACATATAACTGTTAACAGTATTATTTATGGGGTGGAGTGAAATAAGGGAGAATGATATGAACATTTTACTTTCTAATTTATACATTTCTATATAATTTGAATTTTTATAATAGGCTTACACAACTTCATAATTAGAAAAAATTACTTTTCATTTTTGGAAAAAAAAAGGAAAAGAAAAGCTTTTATCTTAAAAATAAAATATTTCCTTTATACTAAATTCTAAATGTCATATCAACCTTTTCTGCTTTCTTACTGGTCAGTTTAAACACTCCTAATGCCTGGAAAAACTTTTGTCATCCTTCAGCTCAGGGGTATATTTTTCGCTCTTGATCTCCTCTGACTGCTTAATCTTCCCTTGTTGGTGTTTCAGTTATTTATATTGCAGTAGAAAAACTGACAATTTTGTCTTACACTTTACAAACAACATTAAAATAACAAAACAAAAAAAAAGTGTTAATACATATATTTGAATATCTGAGAACACAGAACTAAAGCATGGAGGTTTAGAAACATAGGACAATAAATTCTTTTGTCCAAATTTAATGAGTTACAATAGCGAATTTTCAGGGTCTCTCTCTCTCTCTTTTTAAAGTTAACTCATTATCCTTTTTGTTCCTCTCTGCATAATCTCTCCTTTCTGTTTACCCAGACGAGAAGATATGTCTACAGTGTACCAAAACAACAAGCTACAAAGTATAAAACAAAGACCAAAAAAAAAAAAAAAAAAATCAGCCATCAGTTTGTATATCCCAGAAAAAACAAAGTTTGGAATACTGGGTACTATATTTTAAATAGGAAATGGTCAAATTGCAACATTAAAAAAAAAATGGAGTGATGAGGAGAGTGAAGGGGCTACAGTCATGTTATATGAGGAACTAAAGACACTGAGGGTTGGCTAGCCTAGGAAAGGGAAAATGATAATTGAAAGAAACTTTATTTTTGTTAGCTCTACAGGGTAGAACTAGTATCAATGAATAGAAGTCACAGGAGGTAGATTCTGGCTCAAGACTGTTACCAAATTATTTCTGGAGGCTTATTACAGATATTGCAAATACTGAAAAGCACATTTTAATATTAGGCCTACTGCACATATGGTATCCCTAACCCACCAAGAACAAGAAGAAAGAATAATGAAGAAGGTAGCAGACTACCTTTCCAGTACACTGCAGGTGCTGTCCTGGCACGGAGAGGGAGGTCACAAACATGGTAAAGCAGCGAAGCAAGAACACAGTGCCCATCAGACTACAGAGCCTTCGCAGAAGTATTGACCTGTGAACACAGCAACCAAAAACGGGGAAAGATCTGAAGAAGACAAACCAAAAAACCCCAAACATCAAATGTCTACTTAAAGGGAGAATGAGAAGAAAAACCACTAGACTCTAGAAGAGGGCAGAATCTTAGAGACATCTAAAGCATCACTGTCCAGTAGAATTTTCTGCAGTCGTGAAAATACTCTATATCTGCACCATTCAATACGCTATCCACTAGCTACATGTGGTTCTTGAGCACTTGACATGTGGCCAGTAGGACCAAGTAAATGAATTTCAAATTTTATTTCATTTTAATTAATTTAAATAGCCACATGTGGCTTGAGCCTGCCATGTTGGACAGAGCAGACTTAAATTAGATTCAAAGGGCATCATTTCATTAATAAGAAAATATGGCTAAGAGAAAGTAAAAGTTATGTAGAAGAGAACTAAAACTAATACCTAGTCTGACTCTCAGCTTAATGTTGTCCTAAAATTCATAAATTGCTAATAAATTATTGATTTATGAGAAGTAAACACCTGTGGTTCTAGGGATTTTTTTTTTTGGCCCATTAATATACAGCGCTGTAAATTAGTTACTGATAGCTATCTAATACAAATTCTAACCTTTCCACTTATGCTATAAAATACAGTACCAAGTTTTACAGGCAGGAGTAGATCTCAAACAAATATTCTGAATAACATTCATTTGGCTAATCATGAACTGCGTTGTAATGTCACTATTTTTTTAATATCTCTCCAAAACAAACCATAAGATTCTTAACGGCAGGGACTACGCATTAGGCTTTTTCAAAATACTCCTTCTTGTCTCAAAAAAGCACTGAACACAAGGCTAGGTATATCTCAAACGTCAATGTGTACACTTTGGATGGAGCCAGGTATTTGAATTTTAACAAGCACCCCAGTTGTTTCAAATGAAAAAGGGGACATAAACCAAACCAAACCCGTTACCATGAGGTCGATTCTGACTCATAGCAACCCTACAAGGCAGAGTAGAACTGCCCCATAGGGTGTCCACGGCTGTAAATCTTTACGGAAGCAGGCTGCCACCTTTCTCCCGTGGAGCTGCTGGGTGGGTTCAAACTGCAGACTTTTTGGTTAGCAGTCAAGTGCTTTAACCACTGCACACCACCAAGGCTCTTAAGTGGACCACCATTTTTTGGTCATTTTATTTATTTTTTAATTCTATTGTGCTTTAGATGAAAGTTTACAACTCAGGTAAACTTCTCATTCAAAAATTTGTACACATATTGTTTTGTGATATTGGCTGCAAGCACTCTCCAGCTTTCTACCCTGGGTTTCCTGTGTCCATTCGTCCAGTTCCTGTCCCTTTCTCCCTTCTCAGCTTGTTTTTGGGCAGGAGTTGCCCATTTGGTCTCATATATTTGATCGAACTAAGAAGCATGTTCCTCATGTATGTTATTGTTTGTTTTATAGGCCTGTCTACTCTTTGTCTGAAAAGTGGGCTGCGGGAGTGGTTTCAGTTCTGAGTTAGCAGTGTCTGGGGGTCATAGTCTTCAGGGTTCCTCCAGTCTCTCTCACACCAGTAAGTCTGGTCTTTTTTTGTGAATTTGAATTTTGTTCTACATTTTCTCCTGCTCTGTCCGGAACTCTCTGTTGTGATCCCTGTCAGAGGGGTCGGTGGTGGTAGCTGGGCACCATCTAGTTCTTCTGGCCTCAGGCTGGTGGAAGCTCTGGTTCATGTGGTCCTTTAGTCCTCTGGGCTAATATTTTCCTTGTGTCTTTGATTTTCTTCATTCTCCTTTGCTCCAGACGGGATGGGGCCAATAGATATATCTTAGATGGCCACCTGCAAGCTTTTAAGACCCAGATGCTACCCACCAAAGTGGGATGTAGAACATTTTCTTTATGAACTGTTATGCCAATTGACCTAGATGTCCCCCAAGACTATCATGTCCCCAGCCCTCAGCCCCAGCAGCTTGGTCCCTCAAGGTGTCTAGGAAACTTCTACGATTTTGCCTTGGTCAAGTTGTACTGACTTCCCCTACATTGTGTGTTGTCTTTCACTTCACTGAAGTTGACACTTATTTCCCCTGCCCCTCCCTCCCTCGTAACCATCAAAGAATTTTTTTTTTTTCCATCTGTAAACCTTGTCTGGAGTTCTTATAGTAGTGGTCTCATGCAATATTTGTCCTTTTGCGATTGGCGTATTTCACTCACTATAATGCCCTCTAGATTCATCCATGTTGTGAGGCGTTTTGCAGATTCATCACTGTTCTTTATTGTTGCACAGTATTCCATTGTGTGTATGCACCATAATTTGTTTATTCAGTCATCTGTTGAAGGGCACTTAGGTTGTTTCCATCTTTTTACTATTGTGAATAGTGCTGTGATAAACATGGGTGTGCATATGTCTATTCATGTGACGGCTCTCATTTCTCTAGAATATATTCCTAGGAGTAGTATTGCTGGATCACATGGTATTTCTATTTTTAGCTTTTTAAGGAGGTGCCATACTGTTTTCCATGGTGGTTGTACCATTTTACATTTCCATCATTGCATAAGAGTTCCAATCTCCCCACAACCTCTCCAACATTTGTTATTTTCTGTTTTTTTGATGAGTGCCAGTAATGTTGGGGTGAGATGGCATCTCACCATACTTTTGATTTGCATTTCTCTAATGGCTAATGATTACAAGCATTTCCTCATGTGTCTGTTAGCCAACTGAATGTCTTCTTTGGTGAAGTGTCTGTTCATATACTTTGCCCATTTTTTAGCTGGATTATTTATCTTTTTGTTCCTGAGGTGTTGAAGCGTTTTGTAGATTTTGGAGATGAGACCTTGTCAGATATGTAGTAGCTAAAAATTTTTCCCAGTCAATAGGTTGTCTTTTCACTCTTTTGGTGAAGTCTTTTGATGAGTGTAAGGTTTAATTTTTAGGAGGTCCCAGTTACCTAGGTGTTTATGCATTGTTAGTTATGGTTTATACTCCACTTATGCCATGTATTAGGGCCCTAGCAGTTATCCCTATTTTTTCTTCCATGATCTTTACAGTTTTGGATTTTGTATTTAGGTCTTTGATCCATTTTGAGTTAGTTTTTGTGTATGGTGTGAGGTATGGATCTTGTTTCATTTTTTTTACAAATGGGCATCCAGTTTTGCCAGCACCATCTGTTAAAGAGACTGTCTTTTCCCCATTTAACAGACTTTGGCCCTTTTTAAAATATTAGCTGCTCATGGATGGATTTACATCTGGGTTGTCAACTCTGTTCCATTGGTTTGTGTCTGTTGTACCAGTACTAGGCTGTTTTGACTACCGTAGCTGTATAATAGGTTCCTTCATTGGTTAAAGAATGCTGTTGGAATTTGGAGCGGGATTGCATTTTATCTGTAGATCGCTTTGGGGAGTACTGACATTTTCACAATGTTGAGTCTTTGCATCCATGAACATGGTATGTTTTTCCACTTATGCAGGTCTCTTTCGGTTTCTTGCAGTAGTGTTTTGTAGTTTTCTTTGTACAGGTCTTTTATGTCCCTGGTTAGATTTATTCTTAAGTATTTTATCTTTTTGGGGGCTATTGTCAATGGTATTGATTTGGTGATTTCCTTTTCAAAGTTCTATTCATTGGTACAGATCATCATTTAAAAAATATATATATTTGATTTTGTTTTAGGTGAAAGTTCACACAGCAAATTAGGTTCCCATTTAACAATTTTTACACAAATTTTTCCATGAGATTGGTTATAATTTTCACAGTGTGCCAGCAATCTCATTATTTCCATTTTGTTTGTTCTGTTTCCATTGATCTAGCTTCCCTGCCCCTCCTCGCCTTCTCATCTTTGCATATGGGAGCACACCAGTCACAGATGATATTGTTTGTTTTTTATAAGCCAATCCATTATTTGGCTGAAAGGTGACAATTACGAATCGCTTCAGTTCCAAGTTTAAAGGGTATCTTAGGGTGATAGTCTTGGGGGTTCCTCTAGTCAATATTGGTCCAGTAAGTCCGGCCTTTTTTTTTTTTTTTTAATTGTACTGAACTCTTTTTAATGACAATATGTAATTTATTGTGAAGTATCAATAATGGTAAAGGAAGCTGTGAGGATTTTTGTTGTTATTTATTATCCAAACAAACAAAAAAACCGTTGCCCTTGAGTTGATTCTGATTCATAGCAGCCCTATAGGAAAATCTGGCCTGTTTTTTTTTAGGAATTTGAATTTTGTTCTATATTTTTCTCCCATTCTATCTGGGACATTTTATTGTGTCTCTGGTCAGAATGGTCGGTATTGGCAGCTGGGCACCATCTAGTTCTTCTGGTTATAGACCACAATTTGAGAAACATGTTCTTAGACTAATTAAACATCAACACTTACATTTAACTGGCCACTGCTATGCTTTACTAAACCTACCAAGGTTTGCTACAGATGGTAAATACTTTCCTGTTTTGAAGAGTGAATAAATTCAGATCCATGGGGTCTTGTGAGGCAAAGTTAAATCAGAAAGCAATAGTGATATATGTGTTTCTAAATCACCTCTGGTTTTAAGCAATCCAGAGTTAAAAACATTACTCCAAAACAGGAGAGGATGAGGTTCAATATGGCTTAAAAGTGAGACAACAGTAGCAATCATCAACCTTTCTTTTCACCTTCAAATCACTGAAATAACTGCTGCTTAGGAACTAAACCATCTCTGTGGTTTACCACAACAACTCCCTGGTGAGGAGAAAGAATCAAAAATTTAAGAAAGTGCCATTATTCCTCTGCAGTGATCCAGAGACAACAGATAGTTAATACAATATCCACAAACTTTAGAGTTCCTTAAACTTTTTCCTCACTATGCTTTATTTTTGCCTTATGTCAAGTAATTTTCCCCACTAAAGTAGAAAAGGAGCCTCCTCTAATACTTCCTTTCTTTTTTTAAAATTTAAACAAGTCTTCCCTTTATATTTCTTGATGAAAGTACCAAAGAAACATTTTCCCTACACAGCAACTTCCTATACCACTTGAAATAAAGCACACTGAAGTAGATGTGCATGATATCAAAATAATATCTTTTTTAATGGCCCCTTCCAAACAGAACAATTTCTTCCATCCATACATTTGATCAAAGACTGTCCTTGGAGGAGTTTCCACTACAGAAAATGACATCTCTTGTTTGTTTCTAAAGAAAGATAAGTCTAGGCTGTCAATGGCTGGTTCATGGCTCTTCATCATCATCTCTGATCTGTCCCTGCAAAATACATTCAGAACATTACTAAATATATAGATATTATCTTAGGCTGACTCTTTTGTTGAGCAAACCCAAAATATTTTCTTTTGTCAATAACTGTAGTGTCACACTGGACAGAGGAGGAAATTAAGGAAACTGCACAGGGTAAGATAAGGTTTGATAAAAAGAGTCAAAATACTTCATCTTTTAAAGGAGTAAATGAGGTACCTGTGCTTGTGAAGAAGAAGAACCAGGAGCCAAATATAGCACAGAATCATGCCACATACTTCTGTCATAGCAAAGGCCCACGGGATTCTAGGAACACTGAAACAGGAAAAAAAAAAATTAAGTTTCTGAACTGAAGATTCACTTAAATGAATCTACCCCTTTCAATAAAATATTCTTCTAATCATTATCTTAAAATTGTTTTTTAGAATTTTTACCTCTTTTAGGAGATGATATTTTAAGAACTTGGGGAAAAAAAAAGTTTTATAAAGTACCCCATTTATCAGAGGCTGTTTGTTGTCTGTGATTCTCAGTCATGGTTCTCTGTAAAGACGCAACAACTATTCTCTCTCTCCCTATAGCATGGCAGACCTGGATACAGGACTGCCTAAAAGACAATGAGAAAAAGGTTCACTTTTTTTTTTTTTTTTTTGAACATTTTATTGTGCTTTAGGTTAAAGTTTACATAGCAATTTAGCTTTCTATTCCACAATTCATACAAATTGTTCTGTGACATTGGTTGCAATCCCTGCAATGTGTCAGCACCCTCCCCATTTCCACCCTGGGTTCCCCGTTTCCATTAGTCTGGTTTCCCTGCCCCTCCTTGCTTTATCTTTGCTTTTGGCAAATGTTGCCCTTTTGGTCTTGTATAGCTGATTGTTCTAAAGAGCACAATTCTCATCGGTGTTGTTTATTTTATAGGCCTTTCTATTATTTGACTGAAAGGTGGGGTCCGGGAGTGGCTTTAATTCCAAGTTAGAAGGGTGTGTTAGGGTAACAGTCTCCAGGGGTTCCTCCAGTCTCTATCAGTCTGGTCTTTTTTATGAATTTGACTTTTGTTCTACATTTTTCACCCATTCTAACTAAAGGTTCACTTCTTGCATGATGTGCTCATGTCAGAACCCAGACAATCAGAGCTTGAACTCAACTTCTCTCTTCAGTATATTTGTTTTATTTTAAAGGCAGAGTTTGTTTTAGAGGTAGTAAATAGAGATTTTTTTTTTAAACTCTCTCTGTACTTTGTTTTGTATCCTGTTTTCTTCTACCATTTCCACTGGTCCCTCTTCTCCCCTCACTAAATCCACAGCTTCTGTGGTTCACCACTAGATTAAAAGACATGTCACGTTTCTAAGAGAAAGAAAGTGAGAGGGAGAAAGAGAGAGAGATGGAAATGAAATAGGCCAAACAGGTCATTACTGGGTGGTAGGATTACTGGTGGTTTTATTTTTACTCTTTGTACGTTTCTACTAAAAATTTTTATACAATGAGCATGTGTTAATTTTATAACTAAGAAAATAAAATTATTTTTTAAAAGAAAACATGAGATCTGAAAGAAAGGAAAGACATTAACAGAGTCTACTCCAAACCTTATTCAGAGTTAACTGAGGAGTCAATCATTTTCACTCAGAGACTCATTTTTTACCTATGATCCCAGAAAGAAAGATTCATCTTATGTATTTTTAACCTATCGCTGCCTTATTTATCTGGCATTACTGGGGAGAAGGTTATTTTACATCACATAAATTTTCAGATAAAAGAACGATTCCTTTCAATGCAAGAAACACTTTTTAAAAACAACTATATATTCGAACAGCTGATCTTTTGGTTAGCAGCGGAGCTCTTACCACTTCACCACCAGGGCTCCATATATATACACAGTTAAGTAAAAAAAATTAGCAAAGCTTATTATGTAAATAAGTCTTCAATCCCCATCTAAACCTAACCCTAATTCTTGCTCCCCAGAGGCAATGACTTTTACTCTTCTAGCTGTTTTATCAGGCATTAAATCTTTTAGTCACACCCTCCCAACACACACAGATCCCCCACACTCTCCTATCCTCTTAATATTGTTATTTCACAATTTTGTTTAAAATAATCTTTGACTTTTACTACTGTAAGTTTGTAAATATCATTCACAGTTGAATCAACAGGGAACTATGATTAAATTCCTTTCCTGTACAACTTCTTAAAATTCTCTGGGGTAATATCGCTCTCTTTTTATTAGTTTGCTCTGTTTTCTATGTACATATCACCAATTCATTCTCAAACTGTTTTATCAATTTTGATTTTTCCTTGGAGGAAATCTCTCCTAGAGCTCTTCTCCCTCTTGTTCCAATTTAGAATGGCTGCATTTTCTAGGTCTCCTGCATGACTATGTCTTGGAATAAAAACCCTCATCTTGGGAACTCCCTCATCTTGGGAACTCCCTATGCCTGTTTTCTATATTGGGTCCTTTGCTTCTTGAATTCCACGTCCTCCTTTTTCTCAGTTTACTCCCTAGTTTTGATGGTGCATATCTTCCAATTGTTTTCTGAGTAAGAATGGCTAGAAAATAGATGTTTTTAATGTCAGATTTACTGAAGTTTAATACATGTAGAGAAAAATTCACCCTTTTTAGGTGTATAGTTCCATGAGTTTTCACAAACTTATTCAGCCGTTTAACTACCACTATAATAAAGGTATGGAACATTTTCATCATGCCAAAAATATCCCTTGTGCCCTTTTTTAGTTAATCCCCTCTCCCATCTCCAACCCTGGGGCAACCACTGATCTGATTTCCTTACAGGTTTGTCTTCCAGAATGTCATATAAATGAAATCATACGTATGTAGCCTTTTGTATCTGGCTTCTTTCACTCAGCACAGTGCATACGGTATTCATCCATGTTTTTCCATGTAAAATTCTTTATTCAGTTTCTTTATCCATTTCCTGGTTGATGGATATTTTGGGCTATTTCCAGTTTTTGGTGATTATGAATAAAGGCCACATATAGATCTTGCATGGACATATGTTTTTCATTTCTCTTGGGTAAATACCAAGGAGCGGACTCAACTGTTAGGTACTAATGTTAAGTCTATGTGTAACTTCTTAAGAAACTACCAAACTCTTTTCAAAGCAGTTGTACCATTTTTTACACTCCCACTACCAGTGAATGAGAATATTAGTTGCTCTGAATCCTTGTCAGCATTTGGTATTGTCAGTTTTTAAAATTTTAGCCATTTTAATAGTTACGGGGGAGGGAGACCATTTTTTGAGACTTGTAAATATAAAAAGATCTTTAATCTAGTTTTAAATCTAATTGTTTTCTGGATAGAGAATTCTAGGTTAGACATGTTCCATTGTCTTCTAAAACTTCCACTATTGCTGAGAAGTTTGATGCTATCTGGACTTCTGATCTTTTGTATGTTACTTGTTTTGTCTCTTAAGAAGCTTTTAGGATCTTTTGTCTATACCCTGTGTTCTGAATTTTCACTATTATAGGTCATTTTTCATTCTCATACAGGAAGCTCAGTAGGCCTGTTTTAATCTGGGAAGTCATGTCCTCTGGTTTTGGAAAAATTCCTGTACTATATCTTAGACAGTATCTTCCCCTCCATTTTCTCTCCGTACTCTTTCTGGAACTTCTGTTTGTTGATTGTTGGGCCAACTGAATAGATCTTACCTTTTTTCCTCTACTTTTCATCTCTTTATTCTACTTCCTGGGCAATTTCATCAAATTTATGTTTCAATTATCCTGCTGGATTTTAATTTCTACTTTTTTATTTTCCAAAGGCTTTTTTTCTCTGAGTTTTCCTGTTTTATAGCCTCCTGTTCCTGTCTCATAGAACATCTATATTATCTCTCTGAGGATATTAATATTTTTTTAAAGTGTTCTTCTGCTCCCTAGGTTATTTGTGTTTCCCCAGATTTTTCCTTTTTTCTATGTTAGTCTGTTTTCCTCAAATGTCTAATGATTCTTGACTGATAATTCATATTTGACAGTGAAGTATTAAAAAAGATAATTTGATATTGTGTGCATGGGCGGAGCTTATCAAATTGTGGGTTTTACTGTAGAGTGATTGGGCAGAGGCCTGGTTGATTAGTTGGAAATACCCTCCCAACTACAGGATCTACAATCCTTTTTTCTTGGGCAGGTTTTCCCAGGAGAAGAATCTGTTCTTCTGCTTGGAAAACAGGGGAAATGTCTGGCTACAACATCCTCTGAGCTAAGTGGAGGAAGGGAACTGGAAGTGTCAGTTATCAGTACATAGACTTTCAGTTAATCCCCTTACAAACATATTGAAAACATACAGCACCTTTGTTCTCATCTTGGCATGGTGTTCCTTGAGTCTAGAGTCCCTTGCATTCAACTTCTCTGGAGATATACTACTAGTCTTCTGCTGGGGTAGATCAGGGGAACTAGAGTTCTAAAAGCTTCTTAAAGAGATTTCCAATCAGTTCTCCATATTTAGCTCGTATCTCTACCTGGCCTTGAGAGATACTTCGTGAGCTTTTCTGGAGTTCTGCAATACAAATAAACTTATCTCTTCAGTACTGTCACCCCCGACTCCCAATCTCACAATAGGCACTTAGTTATCTACTTTCGTTATTATCATTGTTTTTGCCTTTATGTGATGATTATAGGAGATCCTCCCCTCCTTTACTGTCATTTTAGTGGTGTTGACAGGAAACTGTCAAATGTGTATTCAATCACTCATATTTATTTAGATGCAGAGCTTTCTAAAATGAATTATGCACCTATATGTCTTCTTTGCTTTGGTGATTCAGAGTTATCACTGTGAACACTGATTATTACACAGTACAGAGGAATGATCTCAGGGACTACTGAGAAATGAAGGGCAGTTAAATCCCAGATTGATGTTGTTTTTCCATTATTTATGTTTGCTTTTTTTTTTTTTTTTTTAAAGTGTTTCTGTTTCCTCCCTTGCTATTATGGTTATCAGCTATCCCTTTTTACTGTTGGAGATGGGCCTACTTCCAGAAGCATCCCTATTCCCTTCTAATTTTTCATAATCTGCTGAAGCTCTTGGAATTGCGTCAAATAAGCTTCAGAAAAAGACCATGAAACAAAGATCAGTATGAAACTAATTCATTAGAAAATGCTCCCAAGAAAAAACCATAGGGTAACTGGGGATATGGGACCAGGAAGGCAAGGAAGCCAAGTAGGGGTGAGGGTGAGAAATCAAGCAAAGTCCTGTGGGGAACTCAGGAAAGGTTAACTTTGGCTCAATTGTGTGGGGAACTTGGGAGACAGTGTAGGTCAGATCTCAATGCTGTCCCAATAGGAGGAAAAGAAATGAAATATTTATATCCCATCTT